CCACTTCCGCATCGACTTCAAAGTGTTAATGCTTACATATAAAGCCCTAAACGGTTTAGGACCTCGATACTTGGCGGAACGCCTACTCCCACCAAGATCTACCCGTGTCACCCGCGTGAGCCAGGAGGTGAGGCTGAGGAGCCTAACGCCAAGGGAGGCCCGGAAAGAAAAGACAAGAAATCGGGCCTTCTCGGTGGTGGCTCCTCGCCTCTGGAATAACCTCCCTCCTAACATTCGCGCGGCTCCCTCGCTGGGCATTTTCAAAAAACAACTAAAAACATTGATGTTTCGGCAGGCCTTCCCCTTTGTCAGTTCCTGACCTCCCTTTTCCTTCTTCTCCCAGTGTTTGTCCCATCTTCTGAAAGTCCTCCTTATGTAAATTGTTTTTAATCATATTGTTGTTGCTTATGCTGGTGTAAGCCGCCTAGAGTAGTCTTAATTGATTAGATAGGCGGGATATAAATATAATAAATAAATAATAAAAATAAATGAATAAATATGGGTTATGGAGGGTTCTTCTCTAAGGAGGTCATCTTGGTGAATGCAGTGTCCTTTGCCTTCAAAGGAGGTGGAGGTGGTGGGTTTGATTTAAGTCTAATCATCCTTAGCATATACGCAGTGATCAATATAAATTAAATTCGTGATGACTAATGAGGAAGAAGATTGTCGGATGGCTCAGTGAGACAGATATCTGTCTGTGGAACCAGAGGTTGGGTATTCAGCTCCCACATTGAATTCCAGAAAATTAGCTTTGGTGATCCTGGGGAAGCTGCAGAAATCCCAGGATGTGCTCTGAAGAAGAGAATGGTAAACTACGTCACATTATTCTCTACTGAGTAAACCCTGAAAAAGTCATAAAATTATGACTTGGTGGCACACAATTATTATAATCTGGATGAACCTAACTAAATCTACCTGGTCATCTTCAAATACAGTCCATACCAAGCCATTTTGTCCATATGTCTGAAGACAGCAAACTAATGTGAATTCTGAATTGAAAATAACGTTACTAGGATGCCCTGTCGCAATATTGTTTTCTTCTTGTATTGTTTATCATTTCCTTGCTTCCTTGAAAGTATGCCATGTTAAACAGAAAAGCTTAATGACTCTGATTTCACATGAGCAATTAATCTGCTGCATAGGAGCCAAGTAAAGTGCTCTATCTGAGAGCCAGAGTGTGTTCAGTTTGTTGGAAATCTCATTCAAAGTTTGGACGAAAACCTATTGAATTCATTGCCTTCTACCCCATTGACAACAGAATCACTGGATTCCGCGCCAGGATGTACAGTTACTCTGAGATCCTCTACTCAGAGGTTTCTACTCATGGTCAGTCCACACATATTATGGCACTTGGCTATGTGTAAACCTTGTTAATCTCCCACCACCCATCTCTGTGTTGAGAAAGAGTCCAAACAGTGTTCTGGATCTAAATGTGAATTTCAGGAAATGTAAATGTTTAATCTGCACTGGATTCCTTCTACAAAGAGCTATCAAATGACAAGGACGCACATGTCACCGGGAATCCTTCTACCTCTTAGGTTTGCAGTGAAGATTAGATGGAGTAATCTGTAGAGATGGGCACGAACTGCTGGTTTCTTTCCAATCAGTCACGACTTTTTCTCTTTCAAGAAGCCACAGGTATTTGGCGGTTCCCAGCCCTGCCTCCTCTGGCAGGCACCCATTCAGAGGTAGTTGCTGGAGGGGGCAGGGTAGAGGAGCCAAGGAGCTTCCTCTGAATGGGCATCCACTGAAGGAGGTGGAGCTGGGAACCACTCCATCACCTAGAAATGAACTGGCATGAACTGCTGGTTCATTGATTCCTGCACATCTCTAATCTCTGTTGCCCTGGATCCCCCCCTCCCAATTTAAGAACAGGTACTGATGTCTTGCAGCTGGGAATGGAATGGTCTGAGATGTTCTTAAATGAAGAAAAAAATTACTATATTTCCCCCCAAATAAGACAGGGTCTTATATTAATTTTTGCTCCAAAATGCATTAGGGCTCATTTTCAGGGGTTGTTTTATTTTTTTTTTTCATGTATAATGATCTACATTTATTTAAAGACAATTCTATCATCATCTTCTGGTTGCTGCACAAGGGTGGAGGGCAGGGTTTCACTTAACTGGGGCTTATTTTGAGGGTAGGGCTTATACGAGCATCCTGAAAAATCATACTGGGGCTTATTTTCAGGTTTTGTCTTATTTTGGGGAAAACAGGGTAACTGCTGTAAAGAATAAAGTAAAGGGTAGCTGAATTACAACGAACTCTGGTTCTAGTCGAACAGGTTGACTGTTGGATCACTTCCTCTTTCTCTAGTCACTGAATTGTATGAATTGTGGTAGATGAAAGTTGGGTTATGTGGTCATGCTGGGCTTCTTGGATGCAGCCAAAAATAGTCCCTGGCAGTAAACCCAAGGCATCTAGCTTTAGTCATTGTAGAGCTGGTTTTTGTCCAGGTTCCCCGTTGCTTTTGCACGCTGTGTCTCTACGGGCACAGTAATATGTGCCAGAATCTCCTGTCCCCATGCCTCTGAACTCCAAGTAAACTTCACTCTTGGAAACATCTCTGGAAATTGTGAGCCGGTTTTTCAGGGTGCTGGAGTAGCGCTTGTCGTCATCCCAAAAGACAAGGGAGAGCCATTCAAGTCCTTTCCCAAAGGGCTGGCGAATCCAGCTCACAGCAGTCGCATACTCAGTGAGGGAGAAACCAGAAATGGAGCAGGTCAACCGGAGGGTCTCTGAAGGCTTCAGCTGCACGGAAGGGTCCTGGCCCAAGGTCACCTGAGAATTGACATCTGGAAAGGAGAAGAAAAGAGGTCCATTAATTGGGAAGGAAAACTAACTCTTCCTCTTACAAATGGGAAACAGCAACAATTCATGTTGGCTCTTTGGATTATACTTACAGGTTCTCATTCCAAACAGCACGAGCGAGAGGAGAAAATAATGCATCCTTTTTGAGGGGTGAGGAAGGAACCACAAATGGGAAGAGAGGTGGGTTTTCCTACTGCGTCAAACCTTGCCTCTGCCAAAGCTTTTGAGCTGCTATAGAAAAAGGGAGGCTGAATGAGAACTATTTGCATGAGCTGGCTTATGCAAATTGACATTGTTGTTTAGTCATTAAGCCTTAATAAGTTTGTGACAGGAGGAGAAACATAATGTTTTGCCCTAATAAATGAACATCAATGTATGTTGTCGTTGTTTAGTCATTAAGTTGTGTAATAAATGAACATAAGTGTATGTTGTTGTTTAGTCCTTAAGTTGTGTCCGACTCTTCGTGACCCCATGGACCAGAGCACGCCAGGCCCTCCTCTCTTCCACTGCCTCCCGGAGTTGGGTCAAATTCATGTTGGCAGCTTCGGTGACCCTGTCCAACCATCTCGTCCTCTGTCGTCCCCTTCTCCTCTTGCCCTCACACTTCTCCAACGTCAGGGTCTTTTCCAGGGAGTCTTCTTTTCTCATGATATGTCATACCCAGCAATGAAGGAAGTTTAAACCAAAAAAAAGAGAACATACAACATTTCTTGTGAAATCTTGATAAAGAAACAGTAAGGTGTGGTGCTCATCTCTCTCTCTCTCTCTCTCTCACACCCAGCAACGAAGGAAGTTTAAACCAAAAGAAGAACACACAACATTTCTTGTGAAATCTCGGTAAAGAAACAGTAAGGTGCGATGCTCATCTCTCTCTCTCTCTCTCTCTCTCTCTGGGGATTTTCATTTGCAATTCCTTCATGTCTTTGGAACTAAAAAGTTAATATTGAGATGGATATAAAACATCCTAATGCTTTCCTCAACATTTACAGTTGAATCTATTTAAAGTTTGGTTGCAGATGTTTGCCATCGATTCAGGGTCTGAGGAACAGTTTCAAATCAACACACTAAAAACACTTTGCTTTGAGATTTGTCACTCTTGACAAACAGCAAATATACCAATGCCTGCTCCCATTTTCCATCCTAGTCAGGAGCAGCATTACCCAAAGAGGAACAGTTTCTCTCATGAAAGTCCTCTAATGGGAAAATTGCATATTTTAGCTCACAAACTCTCAAAATCAAACATTTGATTGTTCCCATCATATTGAATATGCACAATATGTATTGTTGCATGACTTGGCAAGGAGAAAATGTTTGAAATATTTCATGTAGACCAGGCAGATTAACAAAGATTTTTTTCCCCAAGAGGTAGAAAGGATGCAACGTATTTCAAAGTTGATATGTTCCCCTGATGCCTCCTGGTGGGTGAGAGGAGAACATGCCACCTACATCTCCAAGGGCTTTTTTGCTTTCCTCTCTTTCACTGTGCCTCTCTCCTCGTGCAGTAATACACAGCAGTGTCTTGGGGCTGAAGGGCTGTCATCTGCAGGTAGAACTTTGAGCCATCCTTTGAGGCCGTGAACCGGTCCCGAATGGTGGGAGAGTAGTAGTTTGTGACTGACGGTTTCCAGTAGCTGATCAGCCACTCAGGAGATTTCCCAGGTTCTTGTCGAAGCCACGACATCCACCACTGGTCCGCCTTGTCCATGGTGCAGGTCAGTTGGGTTGATTCTCCTGGTCGCTTCACCACAGGATCTGACTGGGTCACAACGGCTTGAAACTGGGCCCCTACGTGAGGGAAGAGAAGAGAAATCCCCATTGCTTTGGCAATTCTTAACAGGGCAAGGAAAATAATTCGTATTTCAAGCTGTCGTTCTTTCTCGGCCTGTGGTCAGAGGAAAAGCACATACCCTTGAAGGATGCAAGAAGGATGATGAAAGTATACCAGGAGAGCATTTTTGTCGTGTGCAAGGAAAGAATTCCCCAGCTGTGTGTGTGTTTCAGACTTTCTAAGGAAGGAGCGAGGGACTGGAGTTTCCTGTATGTTCTCTGCTTAAAACACAAGTGATATATCATCAGTCGAGAGTCAGAAATACCAGGGGAATATTTGCATGTCCAGTGTTATTAAAGGCAGTGCACCACAGATGGAAGAACCTGCCCTTCAAGGTTGGTAGCGCCAACCAACTAGGATGGTGTTTGCACTTTCTCAACAGTATGTATGCCATGAATCTAAAGGAAATAATATCCATAACCTATGTGTCACTTTTCTACAAGAGGGCATTTTGGAATCCAATTCTTCCACAAGTACCTATTTTTAATAAATATTTTTCTCTTAATATGCTTTTTGGATCATTTTTGTTTTAATGAGAACCTCATTAGTACATTCTGGAAAGCATTTGAATTTATACAGGCTTTCAATGCACAAAGAGTCCCAGTTTTGGGGGGGGGGAACTCCCCCTCTTCAGTCTCCCATTACTGAGAGGATGGGGCCACCATGCTCACTTCGGTACATGTGGACTCCACATGTTTTCAAGCACAAACTGGTTGCTTGTTTTATTTAGAATAAAATAATTTAGAATAAAATAACCCTACTTTATATAGAATGGAAATCAGGTTTTTCCCTTTCTATTATTTTCCTCTATTTCTTTGCACTGCTCATTTAAGAAGGCCCTCTTGTCTCTCCTTGCTAGTCTTTGGAAGTCTGCATTCAATTTTCTGTAACTTTCCCTATCTCCCTTGCTTTTTGTTTCCCTTCTCTTCTCTGCTATTTGTAAGGCCTCGTTGGACAGCCACTTTGCTTTCTTGCATTTCCTTTTCTTTGGGGTGGTTTTTGTTGCTGCCTCCTGTACAATGTTATGAGCCTCTATCCAAAGTTCTTCAGGCACTCTGTCCACCAAATCGAATTCCTTAAATCCATTCTTCACTTCCAATGTGTATTCATAATGAATTGGGTTTAGATTATACCTGACTAGCCCCGTAGTTTTTCCTACTCTCTCCAGTTTAAGCTTGACTTTTGCTATGAGAAGGTGATGATCAGAGCCACAATCAGCTCCAGGTCTTGTTTTTACTGACTGTATAGAGCTTCTCCATCTTTGGCTGCAGAGAATATAACCAATCTGATTTTGGTCTTGCCCATCTGGTGATGTCCATGTTTACAGTCACCTGTTGTGTTGTTGGAAAAGAGTGTTTGTGATGACCAGCTTGTTCTCTTGACAAAACTCTCTTAGCCTTTGCCCTGCTTCGTTTTGAACTCCAGGGCCAATCTTACCTGTGGTTCCTTTTATCTCTTGACTCGCTACTTTAGCATTCCAATCCACTACAATGAGAAGAACATCTTTCTTTGCTGTCAGTTCTAGAAGGTGTTGTAAGTCTTCATAGAATTGGTTTATTTCAGCTTCTTTAGCATTGGTGGTTGTTTCATAAACATGGATGACTATGATGTTGAAAGGTCTTCCTTGGATTAGTATTGAAATCATTCTATCATTTTTGAGATTGTATCCCAGTACAGCTTTCCGCACTCTTTTGTTGACTATGAGGGCTACTCCATTTCTTCTACAGGATTCCTGCCCACAATAGTAGATATGATAATCGTCCGAACTGAATTTGCCAGTTCCTGTCCATTTTAGATCACTGACCCCCAGGATGTCAATGTTTATTCTTGCCATCTCTTGTTTCACCACATCCAGCTTACCAAGGTTCATAGATCTTACATTCCAGGTTTCTATGCACTATTTTTCTTTCCTTTCACTTCCAGGCATGTCCGCAGCTGACCGTCCTTTCGGCTTTGGCTCAGCCACTTCATTAGCTCTGGAGCTACATGTATTTGTCCTCCGCTCTTCCTCAGTAGCATATTGGACGCCTTCTGATCTGAGGGGCTCATCTTCCAGCATCATATCTTTTAGCCCTTTGTTTCTGTCCATGGAGTTTTCTTGGCAAATATACTGGTGTGGCTTGCCAGTTCCTGCTCCAGGTGGATCGTGTTTAGTCATAACTCTCCACTATGACCTGTCTGTCTTGGGTGTCCCTGCACGGCATAGCCCATAGCTTCTCTGAGTTACTCAAGCCCCTTCGCCACGACAAGGCAACAATCTGTGAAGGGTTATTTTCATTTAGAATTCATTCATGTTTTGTGAACTAAAAACTGAAAAGTTAATATTGAGATGGATATAAAACATCCTAATGCTCTCCTCAACATTTCACACTTGCACAGTTGAATCTATTTAAATTTGGGTGCAGATGTTTGACATCAACTCAGGGTCTCAGAAATTGTCTCAAACCAACACATGGAGAAACACTTTTGAACAATGTCAAATGCTGTGAGATTTTTTAAACTCCTGCCAAAGAGCAAATATACCAATGTCTGCTTCCATTTTCCATCCTAGTTATGAGCAGCATTACCCAAAGAGGGACAGTTTGTCTCAAGAAAGTTCTCTAATGGGTAAATTACATATTTCGACTCACAATCCCTCCAAAACCAAACTTTTATGTCAAATTCCATCCCATCATATATGAACAAAGGTTCTTGTTGTCTCACTCAGCAAGAATGTTTGAAATATGTCTTTCTGACCAGCCAGATAAATACAGAGGTGCCTTGCTTAGCGACCTTAGTCTGTTCCAGGAAAAACATTGCTAAGCAATTTCATCGCTAAACGGAATAAAAAAGCCCATAGAAACGCATTAAAATGTGTTTAATGCATTCCTATGGGCTTAGAAACTGACCTTATGAGAAGATCCTCCATAGGGGCGGCCATTTTCGGTGCCTCTAAAGCGAGGCAAAACAGAGGGCAGCCATTTTGTTTTTCCAGCGGCCATTTTGGAACCGCCGATCAGCTGGCCGAAAATGGCGGCTTTGCTTCCCTGCGATCATCGCAAAGTAATTTTTCCCCATAGGGGCCATCGCTAAGCGATCGCTCTGGCGATGGCCAAAACCCCATCACTAAGCGATTTCATCGCTCAATGGAGCAATCGCTAAGCGAGGCACCACTGTGCTTCCTCAAAAGACAGAACAGATGCAATGGATTTCAAAGTTGAGACTTTCCCCTGATGCCTCCTGGTGGGTGAAGGAGTACATGCCATCTACATCTCCAAGGGCTTTTTTTTTTTTTTGCTTTCCTCTGCTTTCCTCTCCTTTATTGTGTCTCTCTCCTCATACAGTAATACACAGCAGTATCTTGGCACCTAAGGGCCTTCATCTGGAGGTAGAACATTGAGCCATCCTTTGAGGCCATGAATCGGTCCCGAATGGTGGTAGAGTAGTTGTTTCTGACAGATCAGGAAGTAGAAGAGCCCCTCAACCCAAGAAATGGAGATTGGGGGAGGGGAGGGGAGGGATGAAGGATGGGGATTTGCAAGTGGGTGGATCGGGACAGAAGTACACATGTTCAGCCTATTCCATACATATCGACCCTCTCTATTGGTGATCCTGTAGAAGTTGGGAAACAAATTTGTGCTGATTTTGAGACCCAGACTAACCCAAATATGGGCCAATGCGGGGGACAAATATGTAGGAAGCGTCATTATTCACTATTTTGAAGGAGAATGACTTTGATAGAGGCTCAATTAAAAAAAACCAGAAGGTGTGGACACCTTGACATTTGGTCAAGTCTTTTCTCCTGTTGTTTTTCTACCTAGGTTTTTAAAATCTGTCCTTAGAACAATAGAACACTACACGCAGTGGTATTAATAGGGAAGATAGACAGACAGACAGACAGACAGACATATAAATTTCTACTTCTGTGAAAGGAATTCTACACAGCTTTGCCTACCAAATCAACGCAATGAAATTATCTCAGGCAATTACTTTTAATAGGTAATTGCTTATCCTCGAAGTCTGCAAGAGCTTTACAACTTTTCATCCTGGTGGGATGTAAATAAGTATCCCTCTCCAATTTATGAACAAAATAAAATATCTAGCAAGTTTTATTCCCAAATCTCCAACTTGTTTGAAGTCTAAAGATGGAAGACGTAGTTGCTTCTCCTAGTGATTATTATAACGATTATAATTTGTTCTCCAGACTAAAGCACTAGAGGATTTCCAGGGTATTTTGGAAGAGAATGAATAAACAAGTCAGAAAAAGGTTATAAAAATCCTCTGGCTGAATTGATGCAGGGCATATTGGGGGTGGAAGAGGCTGGGAGGGCTCAATCCTGGAATTGATACAGGGCGTATTGGGGGTGGAAGAGGCTGGGAGGTCTCTGTTGATGCCGTTTCTGTCAGTTATCCATCAGAGATCATCTCAGATACTGTTCGAGGTTTGCAATTCTATTTGTTGGTAGTTGAAGAAAGGCCCTTATAGTGCCTTCTCAGAAGAGGGCTTGCTGTCCATTGGTATCATTCATTACAGCCAATGGAATTGATACAGGGCGTATTGGGGGTGGAAGAGGCTGGGAGGTCTCTGTTGATGCCGTTTCTGTCAGTTATCCATCAGAGATCATCTCAGATACTGTTCGAGGTTTGCAATTCTATTTGTTGGTAGTTGAAGAAAGGCCCTTATAGTGCCTTCTCAGAAGAGGGCTTGCTGTCCATTGGTATCATTCATTACAGCCAAATTAAGCGTAGTCATTTGGATTCATAAGAATGTGTCTGAGCAGAGGCTTTGCTGCCACAGAAATGGGTTTCTAGTCCTGGGACCTGAGTTACCATTCTGCTGTGTTCAAGGAAGGAAAGAGGATGAGTTGTTCCCTGAAAGATCCCCTCCCAGCTCCTCATGAGTGGTACCAGCCTGGTGGACTCCTCATCGGAGGGATTCTGACTCAGATAATTCATTTTTTTCATAGAATATCTTTCAAAGAACAGCCTTCGCAGCACCTTTTTGATGTTACGTAAGTACTCGTTCCTCTCCACATCCTTTGCCTTTTTTAAGCTGGGCAAAAGCACAAAATTATAGCAATTGATGCCAGTAATACTCAACAAATTCTGAAATCCAAAGTTCAAGAATAAGTTGATTAGGGAAGCTGAAGAGGTACAAATAGTGGCTCGTTTAAATGTGTCGTTGATAAGATTCATCAAAGTAAAGAAAACCAAAAATTTTCCTCCACCAGTTCTAGGAAAGGAAAAATGAAGCGTCATTCTGAACCGAGAATGACAAGTAGCTTACGAAGGAATTGGAACATTTGGAACAAAATGTTTTTTAGTATTGCTATTGCTTGAAAGGAATATGGCACCGGAATGTAGAATTTTTTTTTTTTACTAAAGATATTGTGAAACTTATTACACAGATATCTTGGCAGTGTAGCACTCAGTGAATGTTGACTAAGAAGATTTAGATTGCTCTGCCTCCTGTTTGTCAGATTCATTTTATTTCAGCTATGTGCACACAGAGAATATCGAGAGAAGGAACCATGTTCAAGTACAGCATAAAGCCTTAAGGCAGATTAGAAGTACTGCCTGCATAACAGCATACGCAGGATTCAGAACCACTGTACTCAATAGTCTGAGATCAAGCTAGATTTGCAACGGTATGTCTTTCAAGGAAAGTCTAGTTTGAAGAAGAATGCCAGTTCGTAAACTCTAGAAATTTTGTTGCAATATAAAAGTATCTGTCTTGACAGCGTGGTGCCAAAATTCTACCAGCATGCCTTGGCCATGGCCTTTGCCATCAATGAGATCAACAAGAACCCCCAAATCTTGCCGAACATCACCCTTGGCTTCCACATCTGTGACAGCTATTCTAATTCATGGATGACCTATCGGACCACTCTCAACCTACTCTCCAAAAGGATGAGATTCGTTCCCAATTATGAGTGTGATGGAAAGAAAAATCTCCTAGCAGTCATTGGGGGACTGGGTTCCGACATCTCTGTTCTTATGGCTGACATCTTAGGTCTCTACAAAATTCCTCAGGTAGGCTAAGATGCAGGTATAGTTAGGACAGCATCCTTTTGTGTGTTCTCCCCCCCCCCTTTTTTTTTGAGTGGCAAGTTATGCTTTCAGGATGAGTAGAAAATACAAGTGTAGAAATAAAATAGATTTTTAAGAAGAGGAAAAAATGTTAGAATAATTATTGAAATTTCAGAAATTCCAAATTATTACAACGATCGTTTTTTTTCTTCCCTGTCTTATAGTTCACTTACGGCTCTTTGGCTCCAGGGGAGATTCATACATCTCAGCATCCTTACTTGTACCACATGGTCCCCACTGAAGACCCTCAATACATGGGGATCATCCAGTTGCTTCAGCATTTTAGATGGATATGGGTCGGGATGTTTGTGGCAGATAATGAGAGCGGGGAGCACTTTGTGCAGACAATGGAGCTACTTTTTTCTCAAAAGGGAATATGCTCAGCTTTCGTACAAAGACTTCCACAACAACCTAATTTGGATGACTTCGATGAAAACATTATTTCAGTCCTTCTGAAAATATATGAACCTTTAACTAATCAAAAAGCCACTGCATGTATCATCTACGGAGAGTCTGCGGCAATATCATGGCTAAGAACACTTATATTTCTTTATGATCGGGAAAATATTAGGTATTCCGAATACAGAAAAGTGTGGATAACAACAACTCAGATTGATTTTATATTAACAGGATCACAAAGGTTTTGGGATCTTCAGATGTTTGAAGGTGCTATTGCCTTTATGATTCACAAAAAAGATCTTTTGAATTTTGGAGAATTTGTTCAGCCTATCAAACCTGGCTGGAATGAAAGAGATGGTTTCCTGAAAGATTTCTGGGAGCAAGCCTTTGACTGCGTCTTTGGAGAAACCGTTCCAGATAGTGAGAAATGTACTGGAGAGGAGAAACTGGCAAGCCTTCCTGAGCCTCTTTTTGACATGCATTTGACGGGACACAGCTATAGTATCTACAATGCCATCTATGTCCTGGCACATACTTTCCATGAAAAGTACACATCCAGATTGAGACAGAAAACCATGATTGAGAATCCAGATGTTGTACTTCAGTATCTTCAGCCTTGGCAGGTGAGATCTGTAC